GGGGCGCTGCAGCCGGTCGCGGCCTTTTCGGGAAGAGCCCGGTCCTCGGAAAGGAGGGGCCGGATGGCGAGCGGTTAGGCGGTGAGCGAGGGGAGCCCGCACCGGCCAGCTGAACCCTCCCCTGAAAGCCGGAGCTGGGGACCCCGTGGCCCTCCTTAGCCACTGTGTGCGGGGATTAACGCGTGAGGGGTGCACCTGCAAAGGCGCGAGTTGTAGGGGCGACCCGGGCTGGCAGTCACCTTGGCACCGCTCAGGTCTGAGGTGCCCCACCCGCCCTGCCTCCCAGACCACAGTGCCAGGCGGAGGGGTAGCAGGCCTGAGGCTCAGGGCAGGGCAGGCAAACAGGCAAGAGCTGGGTGGAGGGAGCTCTTTTCTGGCAGCAGGGTCAGGGTTGTGGCCAGACAGGGGCACAGTGGCCTCCCACCTGGCCTCCAGCCAAGCCCTGACATCCTCTGCACTGACATGATGGCTCCTCCATGGGCCAGCCTCCTGTATCCATTCCTTTTTTTAATTAATTAACTTTTAATTAAATTTATTGGGGTGACAATGGTCAATATGAACATATAGGTTTCACGTGTGCGCTTCTATTTCTGCATCTATTAGATATGGAGGCGTCACACCCGAAGCAAGACAGGCCACAAGGGTGGCCGTGGGGGGAGCTCCCTAACGATCACACCTTGGGCCAGTCTCGTGCAAGGGTTCAGACTGCAGCTGGGGCAAAGGGGCCTTGGGTGGTGAAGTCAGGAGGGGCCACTCACATATACCCACGTTCCCACCAACAGACAGAAGGGGTGCAGAGGTTTGGGTGCACTGACCAGTTGGTTCCTGGTCTGAGCCCAGATCTCCATCCCCAGGCTGGTCTTGGTGCCTCAGCTGAGGATGAGGTGGGCAGTGTGTCTGTGAGGGAGAGCAGAATAGTTGCCAATGGTCAGCCACATGCCCAGTTGGTGCTGGCGTCTGGTAGGAGGTGGGTGGCGGTGGTGGTGTGCCCCCTTACCCCCAGGCCCTCACTTGCAAAAGCTGCTTGTGCAAGCGTGATCCAGCTCGCCCTGCAGAGACGGGTCAGGGAGACGCCGACACAGATGCCCAGCCAGGTTGCATCTCAGAGAGGCAGGGGCTGGGGTCTGGCCGCTGGGTGGGGATCTGAGGTTACTTTCTAGCTTGTCCAAAATGACACACCCGAGACAGACAAGCCTGTCTCACCAGCTCTGACCAAAGCCACTGGGTCTCTGTTTCTCTTTCTAATTCTCCGGATGCAAAGCTGACGTCCTGATGTGCACAGGGGTGTGGGTTGGTCGCTGGGGACAAGTCACCCTCATTCCTGCTCTCTCAAGGCACTTAGGTGGGCATGGGTATAGCTGGTCCTTCCCCGGACTTGCCCCCCAGAGGAATCAGGAGCGTGCTGAAGCCCCCACTCATCTGCCCCTCCCTTCATCCGGATTGAGCCCAGCCCACTTTCTCGCCCCACACCACCGCTCAGATACTGTTTGTCCTAAAGTCGGAGGCCTGGGTTTGAAACAGCTGTGTGACGTCCGGAGAGTTACTTGACTTCTCATCTATAAAATGGGAACAACAAGGAAATACAACTGAAATGACCAAGTGAACTAAGGTGTGTAAAGTTCGTAGTAAAGCGGCAACAATCAGTAAATTGTTATTGTTACGCACAGAACACAAACCCTCCCCACCACATTTACCACAAACCCACGGCCTCAAGCCCTGTGGGTGCAGAGGAGCCCCCACTGATGCCCAGCACCCACGGGCGCTGCAGGCTCACAGCCACACGCCTGCCGGGGAAGCGGGCGCGCCCCCTCCCGGATTCCCACTCGGAATCCGCCCCGCCACCCCACGGGGAGTCCCAGACTCCAGCAGCGGGCCCCAACCAGCAGCTCCCTCAACCGAGGGGCGTCCGTGCGCGGTCTCGCCAGCCCGCCAGCCGGCCTCCCTTCCGGCCGCCCACGACCACTCAGGACGGGGCGGGTGCAGCCGGGGCCCGCCGCCCCTGCCGTCCGGAGGGCCCGGTCGGCCTTC